AAACTACAGGGATTATAGGGTTTATATAGGGGTTATATTGGAGTTATATTGGGATAATGGAAAATAAAATGGAAACTACTATAATGGAGAATCAAATGGAAAAGAAAATGGAAAATGAAATGGAGTATATTGGGGTTATATTGGGGCTATATTTTTTGGGCTAAAACCCCTTTGGGGCTTTCCCAGATTTAGGGGTACCATTTTGGGGATCCTTATAGTAAGGACTGTAGTATTTTGGGGTCTATATTGGGGTCCCCTTATTTTGGGAAATTACCTTGTGGGCTCTTCACAGAATCCTGGTCGAGCAAAACCATAATAATGCCGGCATTGGCCTTGAAGATCAAAGAGGTTTCTTAGGAATCATTTCCACCCGCGTCTAGAAACAGCATGAAACAGCCGTTAGAGGATCATCAACTCCACATTGAGAAGCCCAACGTTTTAGAAATTTCTGAGTAGCTTGGCCAAGTATTCCTGTTTTCAATAGGGGAGTAGTTCAGTTTTGACACGCACCATGTGCTGGAACTTTGCATATGTAGTCTAAGCCTTAATGAAGCTAGGCCATGCATCAAAGCACCACCTCTCCTACATTTACACGTGAAGCCTGCGTAGGTTGCTGAGATACCCCGACGTTGACTTGTGCACGTTGCTGAAACGTGAACGCATGCATTGACCACATTTAAGATTCCTGTCCTTCGGGGTAGTCGTGTCCCAATCAGCCTATGCAGCCTCGGCTCCATAGAGCCTTCTAGCAGAAACCCCAGGCACTCAACGGCAGAAGCCAAGAAGCCCGGAGTTGAAGGTCCCTACTTGCAAGTTCCCCCTGACCCTCCCAAGATACGCGCCCTGGGCCATGCTCACCAGGTACATATCCATTGGGTTGGGAAATGAGTTGCCCAGTGCGTCAGAGACATGTAAGGATGAGCCGTGGCCTGAGTGGATGGGTTCTTTCAATTCTCAAGTCGCAGCTGTGGGCCCTTCGCGATGCATTATATGGGCTTGTAGGGCTTGCCATGGGGTATATGATAGGTGTATAAGGACCCCGGGATCTAGGGGACCATGCTTCCAAGCTTCTGACAGGGTTTCAGGGTCCATGGCCTACAGTTTGCATGTGCAATCTGCTTCCGCGCTTTGCCATTGCTGGGAAATTTGCCACCTGAAACGAACCTCATTACCTGTGAGCTGTGCGGCAATCCGGTGCAGCTCTAGTTCGTCATCGGATCTAGTTCTTTGTGTTTATTGTACTAAACCGTATCGAGGACCAGAATGACCTGCAGTCTTAGGACGAAACGCGTGCTTCACCAAAAGAAGTTGGTGATCCCTGTGTTTTGTAGAGCTTGAATGATTTCAGGCCTAAGGGTTTCAGGTTACCAATTTCCAATGTTCCTCCCCCATGAGACTTATACAAGCACAAAACATCCCCAAGCTCGATTCCAATCATTCAGGTGTCTACATTGAGGAAATGTTTGCTTGATTGCGTGAGAAGTTGTTTTGGGAGAATAGGCTTGACGCCAGAAGATGTACCCACAACTGTACTCATGAGGGAACATGTGCGAAGTGCATTTACCCGGCCAATACTTGCAACTGGAAAGGTGGAAGTTTTATGAAACACCTCTTTCAACATGCACGAAGGGTACAGCAGTTTGGAGTTTTCTTAGGAAGGATTGAGAGTCATTGTCGCTTTCATTCTTTTCCCAGACCTTGTTCGCAGTACTGCTGTCATCATTGCTGGGTTGCTGTTTGGGAACTGTTTTTTTAAGCTGCGCTATTGGGGAAACCACCTTAAGTACTATATCTACCCATAGTATGATAACTTAAACCCCAAGCCCTACATACCTATACTATGGTAACTTCATTCAAATTCCTTCCAAAGCAACCACCATCATTGCAGTGCGAGGCAGGCTGTGAGCATGCAACCTTTCGCATGGTAAATGGTAGGCAGCCTGTCGCATGCAGGACTTCAGCTTGAGGGTTTTGGAGGCGTGTAGTGACACAACAGAGGGGAATCTCTCAAGGCCGTAACACAGCTGTAGCCACCGCTGTAGCGCTCCTTACTGCGTTTCGGCTTAACTGGCATTTGGGGAACCCATGAAGAATGAGTCTAGGATCCAAGGTTCAAAGGGGTCCCAGGGCTCGCTCTCTCTTTGTGGTTTTAGGATTGCGGCTTTACCGGGCTTAGTGTTCATCGGCTATGGCACAAGTTTCTTCTGGGGCGCGCAATTTTGAGAGTATCCGAGTTTGAGCTTCAAAGCACGAAGCGCAAAGCATGCGTGGTGACTGCTCAAGTTGGCGAATGAGCTTGTGCATCATGACCCCCATGGGACCCGACAACCCTAAAGCCTAAACCCTGAAGAGTAGTTTCCACTTTCTTTTCCATTATATCTATTTAACCCCCATGTAACCCCTATATGCGCATATATAATCGCTCTATATCCCTTAGAAAGAAAGGCCTTGGCCCCTGCGCTCAGGTCAAATGTCTTGCTTCAGCAGATGAGGCGGCAAAACGTGGACCTTGAGGTTTGGTCCGTGTGCATGGAGATGCCCCGCGTTTGGTGTGTATGTACATATCAAGGAGCACAGTATGGTGACCTTTTCCAGTGCCAGTAGCCAAGCATGCATCGATTCCCTTAACCCTAAACCCTAAACCCTAAAACCCTAAACCCTAAACCCAACGCAGTTTCTTGCGGCCATTCTGCTGTGATTCCTTCCTTGCTGACTTGGGATGAAGCGGAGGCTTTCCTTGCAAAAGCTGAAGCCAGTCGGTCCTTCTTGGTTTGTGCCAGTCCTGTTTTCTGCAGTGACTACGTGTTTGCTTGTAGAATTTCTGGCGTTTACAATGTCGGCAGCAGTAATTATCCGTGGCGCGCATGATCACCACGTAAGGTTTTGGTGCGGACGCAGAGTAGTCATCGCCCAGATTTTCAACAGGACACCCTAAACGCATGCATTTGGTCAGCGACTTTAACATTCTTGGGTGAGCATGCTGTCGAAGTTGAGTGTCGGATTTGCTTTTTCATGAAGTATGCTTCAGACAGCGCTGCCTCAGGGACCGGCACCAAAAATGACAGCTGCCTCTGCTGATGATGGTTGCGAGTGCAATTACCACAGCTACCACAGTCAATCACTCTTGCTATTTGCTATCTTGCTGCCAGAAGTACTTTTCATACCAGAATGGCGGCTGCTGCTGGTCTGCGAAGTGGTACTCAGATCGCTGCATGACTAGCTTCATTATTGCAGTTGCTGCTATTGCTGCAAAGAAGATTCGTGAAATTACTTTCTTGCATGTTCACATGTTGTTGAACCGCAATTGCTGCGACCAGCACCCCTGCATCTACAAGTGCTCTGGCTACCACTGCCATTACTACTCGTGCTGTTTGTTGGCGGTAGTTGTAGCAGTAGGAGGGGGAGGAGCAGGAGCAGCAGCAGTGGTAGGAGGAGGAGTTGGCAGTAGCAGCAGCCGTGCAAGGGGCAGGGGTAAGGCACTTATGGAGGTAGCCATCACAACTTAGAGCTACCGCCACCGCTGCCGATACATGCCCTTATGTCTAGCATGACTATTTCCACGGGATACCCCCACTACCAGTAGGCAGCGCCACAGCCTTTTGTCCACCGTGACAATTCTGAAGAGGATCGTAGATGCAGGCCTTTGTTGGAATTGCAGCGCGTTGAAGCCTTCATTGCGGCCATACGTTCTGCTTCAGCGTGCTAGTGCCACAAACAGGTGGACAAGGACTATGCCGCGGCCAAGACGCTGAGCCTCGGTATTTAGTCGCTGCAATCTGAAATCGGCTTTGTGTGTGGCAGCTTCTGCATCCAAGGAGAGAGGCATGCGA